CGTCTTTAGCAACTATCAGGACATTATACTGGGATTGTTGTTCTCTGTCTAAAACCTGTTTCGTTACTAGAGAATACATGTTACTTTGTAAAGAAGGTGCGAGCAAAAAGGGTGCATCTTTGCTTACATAACATACTACTTTTCCATTCAAATCAGAATCGGAGTCTTTGACACTAATTAACGCCACTGTGGTTCCTGGTTTTGAATTTTCAGGGAGTGCATGAGAAAAAGATGTCACTTCAATCTCTGGTGCATTGTCATTTACGTCAATTATATTAATAATGACGACTTTGTCTGTTGTCATCGTAGCTGCTCCTTTGTCGGATGCTTGAATGTCGATTTCATACCTGCCGCTCTCTTCAAAGTCTATGAGTCCCGCCACTATAATTTCTCCAGTAACCGGATTTAAGTCAAAACGTTCACGTACCCGTGCTTCCACGTCATTTCCAAATGAATACACAACCTCACCATTTAATCCTTCATCCAGGTCTGTTGCATTAACTTGAATCACAGTCGTACCAAAAGGAGAATTTTCTTTGAGGTGCGCACTATATGCCTCTTTACTGAAAACAGGAGGGTTGTCATTAACATCGGAAACATTAACAATTATTGTCATGTTACCAGATCTGGGAGGTTTACCTCCATCAAAGGCTGTCAGAAGCAACACATGAGTTTTAACAGATTCTCTATCAAGTGATTTTTGAAGGACTAAACTCGGTGTTTTACGGTCTTCGCCCCGGTCTTTCACTTCTAAACGAAAATGTTCATTGTGACTCAGCTTGTACTGCTGGACAGACAGCGAACCACTATCGGCATCACGGGCTGCTTGTAACTGAAATCGTGCTCCTGGTAGTGCAGATTCAGAAATTTCCAACGTATTTTCTTTTTCAGGAAAGATCGGTGCGTGGTCGTTTACATCCAGAATCTCCACTGCCACGTAGTGCACCTCGAGTGGATTTTCTAACACTGTTTTTAGGTCGATAACACACATCTTGTTTCTGTCACACACTTCCTCTCTGTCGATTTTTCGGTTCACATACAAGATCCCATTATCTGTATTTACTCGGAAAGGAGGCTCTGCTGAGCCGGAGACAATGCGGTACCCCCTCTCTTTCAGTGTAGCCTTATCGAGACCTAAATCCTTCGCGATATTTCCAACAGCAGTTCCTTCTGTAACTTCCTCTGAAATTGAATATCTAAATTGTCCCAAAGCGGTCTTCCAGACCAGAACCAAAATGTATACAATCCATATTGTCCTCGTTCTCCACGTTAGGCATCGCCTTTGTTCCATGGCGTAAAGATGAAACAGCGAAATGAAGCAACTTTCAAATCGCTACACTCATACACTCAAATAGGATTGTTCTGCCACACCCGTTATTACAATCTGACAGTTTTTCAGAATAAAAATTCTTAGCGATTAAATTGTGTCTAGTCCTTCACACACAGAAACGTCATCCATTCTACTGTTTTAAAGGAAGGGGATGGCTCTTGTGTATATAATTGTAACCTTGTGGAAGCATTATTTGTCCTTACACTGACACCAAGTGACAAACAATCACACTGCAGACTTCAAAAAGAAGCATGCATTAGAAACA